GCTTCCCATGTATAGTTTATTCATCCATTTATTCCAATTAGTCATATTCAGTAAGAATTACATAGATTTCAATAAATTTCTATGGACAAAACATCTTGCTCAAGGATACGCATAGTGCATCTTTTATGTATTCTTAATATTCTTTGCTACCCATCTACTAATTCATCATTTTTCCACACTATGTATGATACTGCATATGCCTATGAACGTACCACTGTATAATAACTGCAAAACACATTTTTAAAAGGTCAATTGTTATGTAAAGCTTAAACTGATCATCAAATGTGTACATCAAATTTAATAATGTGACATTAATTATGTTATTACACCATTATAAAGTATATTAATTCGTAAGACAAAATATCAATGAAAAAAAACCTTGATTCGCTAAAAGTGCATACTTCTGTTTGATCTGTTACACTATTCTGAATATTTAACGGTTAATGTCGAACAGTACATAAGGCTAAGATCATATATTTTTAAATATTTATTAGTATGCAGCCGTGCATTGCGTAGTGATATCACCCTTTTCCCTAATGTCATTCAGTGTTCCTTATATTGCTCTTATTATTTAAAAAGTCAAAACACTTCTTCTGCCTTATTAAGCTAAACGACAAGTCTGAATTAAATCCTAACCTAAAAATGTGATCTGAAACACTTCCAGATTATATATCATTATTACTGACATTTTAATTATTGACAAAAACGTCAATTACTCCTGCATCATAAACAATTTGATATATAGGGAATAACATAATAATGAAACACAACAGTAATGGTGGTAACATAATTTTGATAACTAAATAACAAAAATGGTGTTTCATAACTACTAAATTAATGAGAGTATGTATAGTTTGTATTCCAAATTGTACACTTATTTCAATAGGCAATAAAAGTACACTTATTTGAAACGGTAATCAAAGTATCACGTTAAAAATACCAGGATAATTATGCTACGAGTTTTCGTAATTGATACTTAACAAAGTTATGATGAAGTGCTGGTATTACATAATTAACATAGCGAATAGAAGTGTAAGTGTTAAACAATAAATGTAAGTAGAAAAAATGATCTTGGCAGGTGTAAGGAAGCTGCCAGATTTACCTCTGATTTTCAGTATACATCTGCTAGCTCTGTCTGTTTTCTCTAGAGATGTTTGATATAACATCCCTTAAAACATAAACAATAAATCAAGATCACTAATTGAATTAAAAGAAAATAAATACTGCGTGATTCATATAGATATCTCAATTGTCCGATTTTATTTCAGGATATATTGTCTGCTGTGGACATATATACAAGATTGTTTATGATATGTTTGTGAACGAAAATACATACTGTTTCAAACAATTCAACTGCATATTAATTACATTTGTTGAATATGTAAAAGAATAATACATTGTTTTTGCGGAGAAGTATTTAAAAGATTTAACTACTCTAATTTTAGTACCTCAGATTTAATATTACAAACGACAATCAGCCAACGAATCTGTTTCAACACATTTAATTTAGTAAAGTCATCAACATAAGTAGGGTCAACAGAAGTAAAGTCGTTAGTCATATAAGTGCCGAATTATATATTATTACAATTGTTTTACTAATTTACATTTACACACATCTGTTACCTCTTTTCGTATTGTAAACAAAATGCTTGCAGAATAGAAATGTGAGGAACAGTTTTTGCCGACAGCATGTCATATTACATTTAATTACATAATTATTACAATAGTAATATCGTTATCAGCGTTTTTCCTACAGTGCTTGATAAAGTAAAACCGGTAATTGACAATTTACCCGCTATAGGTATAAGAGAGATTACTACAGTTTACCAGAATTTTATTTTTCAACAATCACACAGTTATGTTTACTATAATGTTTTCCAATACGCATTAGACAGAATGTTGGAGTTGTTTCCACTTAAAACATTCTAAAAATAACTTGTTTGCGGTCAGTTGTTAATTTTATAAACTAAAAATACATACGCAAAGGCATAAACATTTGTTTTAATTTTTTTAATTACATTGTATTTCGATTTTTTTATGTTGGACTTTTACTGTAAATGAACGTTTCTTACAAACTTTAAAACGGCAACCAAATCATTTTCTGGAAAATAACAATGTTGGACAATCGACAATTTTTTACCTTTTCTTTGATATACATGTTACTACAGGACTTTATGCAAAAGAATTTTCACGCGATTCATATGCTTCTTTTATTCATATTATTGTTAGTCTTTTCGCATTTTTTTATAATATATCATTTCATACCAAACAAACTGTAAGGCGTCATGATTATTCAATATTTGCATGAACTGAGAAATTCATTGAGTGAATCTTTCATGGAATAGAAAACCACGAACAATGAAGAATAAATAACAAGATTCTGCACATTTTCCCCAGTGTTGTCAGACATCAAGATGCAAATAATGACAGCCTTTAATTGAATAGACTGAATTTCCTCCTCAATCATATACGAGCATGAAAAATGAATAGAAATTACTGTTTTATATAAGATATTATTCCTACTGGGACAGCTTTTGTAAAAGATTGCATATGAAATTCTTATAAATCAAAAGCAGGGACTATATCTTTATTATCCACATCCTACGTATCTTGGAGATTATAAATATCCATGTCTTGTCTTTTTATACTTACTTTATCTTGACTTGTTATGGATTACTACAGTTTTCAGAACGTTTTAGTATTGTATAAATGAATAGAAAAAATGAATGTGTATCTCACAAGATTATAAGCATAAAAATGACATACTTTTCAGATCTACATATAACATCAGAATTGTAAGTGTTGAAAAAGTCATTTCTTACCAAGGTGTAAAATATATACATGGTTATATTTGATTTACGGCTGCAGGTTGTTCGAACGTTGTAAATGTAACACAATATCAGCTTATATAACAATATATCAGCCAATGTAAAAGGGGTTGTTTAAGGGGTTCTTTATTTATTAACTACTTCGCAATAAGGCTGTCGAAGCAGGTGATCCATTCATTATAAATCACCCATCATATTAAACATTCGTAATAGTTATAAATATGAAGTATATATACTATTTTAACAATAAAACAGCCAATAGCAGACAAAAACTTTAAGATAAAATCAAGTTTTTATGAACAAGAAGAAATTACCTAATTTCCCAAATCATTATTTTACTGAATCACATGAATGTGTTTACGCGGTAATTGTAATTTTATTTCTACTTCCGCGGTTTGCGTTCAAATAATATCGGCCGTTTATGGACATGTTTATTGGTTTTAAATTGCCATGTAGCGTGCAAAAGTATTTTCTTTCACATCACTTGAATGCGCCGTTAGTGTTTGTTGACACTGATTACTCAATAAATCTTTTGTAATGTTTTATTTGTTATTTCCAATCTAATGATGTTGAAACAATATTTATAAGTATGAAATGTAACGTTAATGATTCAACTGCAACAGAAACAAAAAGAATATTGTAACACCTATTAACCAACTAATTTAAAGCAGTATATCAAAAGAATAATCAAAAGAGCATGTTCCATATGTCACATCTTAATTAACCTGATGTCAAAACGAATATGGCGACGATAAAGACTAATTCAAAACTTTATTCATATGCGCAGAAGCACTTTTTAAATAGGATTTAAGTTTTCTACGTCTAACAAGGACAAATATGATTATACCGAATAAAATCAAACTATATTTTTTTCATTTGTTGCCGTTTTGTGAATAAAGTAAATCCTAATTCAACGGAAATGGTCTATTGAACTCATGGAGTTATAACATAAAACCAAATTAAATACTAAAGAGGTGAAACAATCAAACAATTAATGTGGCTCAATTACGACTTCAAAAGAATAATAATAATAATAATAATAATAATAATAATAGTAGTAATAACAATAATAATAAAATATTGCATAAACGAGAGAATTCTAGTTATTTACAGATGATGAAAAATTAATCATGCATATTATTTTCACATTTATTAAAAAAAAGCTTTCGTTTGAAAAAGAGATGAAAATGATGTGTAATGTGCAACTCGCTACAATCTTCATCATGCCTTTGGTTCTAATATGCATCCTGAACCATTTAGATTATATTGTTTAACTTTACGGTTAAAGGTACTTTAATCACTACAATAAAAGTTAACTAATTACCACGATCTTTATAATGACTGATACATTGTGTTATGTGATACAAAAGTAATTTAACAGGTGCTACGATTTCATTGTCATGACACCTCTTAAAATTACTTGTCTAGATATATTTGATTACACGACTCATTACTTGCGTTATTAGATTATCTACAGTGAATGGGATATTAACAAGCTTAATTAACAGAATGCCTCGCTTAATTGATATAGCATCAACTGCGGTGCCAAATCATGTGTAAGAGCGCCACTTTACAATGCATTTTCATTTCACAGTCTATATTAATTACTGCCGAGACATCTGACTTTTTTCATAGACTTTCATCAGAATTAAAAGAAGATATCTGGAAACTTATAAACGAAGACATGATGCAAAAGAATTTTATTGATTTATAAGAAAAGAAAATAATGTGTAAATTCATTAAAGATAATATTTGAATATTGATTGATGATCATAATTAAACGAACTAGTAAAATGTATAAGCAACAAATATTTCCAATTTTATGTAACCATCCCTGGAATGTTTACTAATTTTATAAGTATCTATACTATGCCTAAAATTTTATTGTCCTAAACAAACGTGTTTGCTCTATGTAAATGTAATACAGTACTATGAAAGTCTTTTATAGTTTTATAAATAAACATTATTGAATAATAACGTGTGACTGGTAGAAACCATTTTAATAAGAATCTTTGAAATGTTTGTCTTTTTCATATTATTATTAATCTGTTTTCTATCAATGTTTCTCTTGATATTTGTTTTTTAAGGCAATATAACATATCAATTTCTTTTCAATATGATACAAAATGCAAAACAGAATGATTAATTAAGATTATATAATAAAGTTCATACCAGTGAATAGATTAGTCAGTAAAGTGATTGGTACCACCATTAACGCAACAAGTATATCCGCCACTGCTAAATTCAGAATAAAATAATTTGTAACATTCCTCATACTTGGTTCTTTTATTATCACAGCTATGACAAAAATATTCCCAATTAATCCACAAATAAACACTAATCCGTATGCAATTGAATACACGGCAATTAAATGAGCCGGTTGTTTTAACAAAGCGATCTCGGACGATTCATAAAACGTACTATTTTCATCATATTCATAATAAGAAACTGATGATGTTTCCATACTTGTGTTCCCTAAATAACCTGCACTATGGTTAATATCCATAACATGTTCTGTTGCATTAACAAAATAATCCAAGTTTAATTCATTTTCTTGATAAGTTTTATTTAAACTATCATTGATACTAGCCATTGTATTCCATTCAGTAAACACAAGTTGAGTAGCCCACTCGCGGTTCTACTATTGAGTTAGTAATAATCGCTGTAAGGCGGTTTCTCAAACAAGTAATTATTCAAATATTGTTAAGGTAGCGATGGTGCTGCGTAGCTCATCGATTAATATAATGTTTAAACATATAAAGTAACAATATAAAACAGCATGATTGTTTTATTAATGCTGATAATCAATCAACGATACGTTCGAATAAAAAATATTAACTGTTTGAGTTTATTTTCTTAACGACCAATTATGCCCCAAAAGTACATTTATTTCTTTTTTTAAAAAGCTTCTTATTTCTGGTGTATTTTATAGTTTTCAAAACATAACTCATTACCCTATTATTTTTTTATATTTCTTATGTGGCAATTAATACAATTAATATAGTGATTACGTTTTTTTGTATGGAAGTGAAACTACAACTGTGTTTAAATGCTGTTCCTTTTGTGAAATGTAAATTCACATTACATGCTATGTTTTAGAAAACAATCATCTAACATTTTTTTTAAATATTATAAAGCTAATATTTGCACTTTGTTAAAGAAGTAAAATTGTATTTGTTTCTGTTAAATAATGGGCCTTTAATAAACTAAGATGAACCATTCTAGTTTTTCTTTTCGGGGTATCACTTTGCTCGGAGGTATCAGTTGATGAGAACAATCTTAGTAATAAATTGATGATTAATGTCAGGAAGAATGAAAAACTTAACATGTTAAGATTTATCATTACGATTTAGCATTCATTGAACGCCGCCTTTCCTTGTTGATCTTGTTTTTCATATTTTAGAAAATAGACTTATCTGCTTCATTTTGAAACATTTTTTATAAAACAAATACATATAGTTGCTATTACTATAATTATTGTTATGGTATGTTTGACATGTAGTAAAGATACGAAATCTAGCATAGAAAGAATGGTTTCTTTCTTTAAAGCAAGGTTTTACATAATCGGACATAAATCAGCAAGCTAACTGATTTATTTCTGAAGGGGCTTACCTTTGCGAACGATCAGCTTATGTCGGATATAAATTGTTTTATCGTCGGCATTTTAATGGCTTTGTTGGACAAGCTAATAGTCGTTATCCTCTTCTACTGTTTTTTTAAGCTCAAGGTTTTGTTAAGTCAAATATCATGTATACAGACAGATTCAGGGTTTTTATTTATTTCGAGCTTTTGCACTTTATTGTATTATATTTAGATAGGGTAATAAAAATAAATACTTTCCATTTTCTATAGACTTTAATTAAAGCAATTATGCATTACCGATTTTAAGAAATAAGCAATGCTATTTTATTTATTTATTTATTTAATAATATTTAATTTTTTTTTGAAAATAAGCTACGTCAAGTCGTGCCTTTTTTGTCTATTTTTTTTAAATTTCAAATATCACTAATGTACAGATCTAAGAGTATGTATCCAAAATTACATTCATATATAACTATGATCTATTTAGTATTTCAAAGTATGACTTTAGTTAAGAAACAATAGGTTTTCTTTCTTAAGTACAATATTGGCAGAATTACTTCAATTTTGAAATAAATGAGAGATTCCAGGTTTTAAAGGAATTTATAGTTTATTTTTCTCAAATTGATCTATTTTGGCGCCTAGATCATTATGCTTATTTTTGTTAAAAAAAACTTAACAGTAGTTTTCACAAATTATGTATATAGAAACAGACATCACGATTCAACTCTCAACAGCGTTTGTCAGTACACAAATAGAGCGTATTAAACAAGCTGAAAATAGAGAAAACAGTCGTAGAAATAGAAAAACACAACAACAGGAATATTCTTAGCGTTTCATTGTTAATGAATAATAAGTAAATAGCCACTTTACTGAAACTTAATCAATATTAATAGTCGATTTTTAACATGTGAAATACACCAGTAACTCGTACAAATAATAGTATTAAACTGTTAATTCTTAAAGATATATATAAGAAGAAATAGAAAAATGGTAATAAAAAGAGAGCCCATATCAACAACATTAAAAATGTTGCAGATCGATTTGACTAAATATGTTTGATAAATGCAAGCTATCGATTACCATTTCTCCATCTCCAGTGACAAGTTACACAACGTTTATTCATATAATTTTTGAAGAAAAAAAACCCTTAACAGCCCATGATGAAGAGATATTAATAAATGTAAAGATAAAATGTCTAAATATACCTTACTCCTACGTTATTATAGTACATATATCTGATTCTGGACAAATAGTTTTGAATTATGAGAGCTACAAAATGGGGAATTGCTTACTGTTAAAAGTTTAAGATGAAAATGAATTTTGATGATAAGTAGGTAAAAGATATTGACATTCAGATATTGACTTTTAACATTTTGATTGTTTATTATGATGTTAGAATTTTATAGCACCTGGTTTTTGTCAGACGGTTTTCAATGTAGACTTTTCCACGATCTTTCTGTGGGAGTTTACATTGTAATGCTCTCATTAGATAGCGAGGATAAGAAAATAAACATTTTATGTTTTACTAAAATAAAAATATTTTTGCCATTTCACCAATGGATACTTATGCAAATTTGCAATCTGTCAGCTTTATTACACATGTGTAGGTAAAAATTACTACACTTTGTGCATATTAATCTAAGCGGCTGATATGTTGATAAGTTACATAAATCCAGCATCTCATATTCCGCTATTGACATAGGATATATTAACAAAAAAAAAACAAAAAATAAGAATAATATAATACTGAAACGTTGAAAGGTTGGCATTGAACCTACCTTCTTAACGCTTTTAACTTATTATAACCAATTCTCGTAAATCTATTTTATTTCTTCAAATATTGGCACTTGTAAGGATTTTCAATTCAACCTTATCAGATATTTACCGGTTACAATATTTATTACCCTTTGATATACCAGATGGTATTACAGACAAGTATTGTTTGTAGGAACTATATAAACCAAACGTAACAACATGCAAATGTACCTGAGGTAGACATCATTGTAACCGTATAATTAAGTTAAGATAAAATAAATTCTATCGTTCTGCAATGTGTTTCTATGTAATGCCTTTGTTTTAAACAGATAAATAAATTAACATGAAACTTATTCCTTAAAGTATTAATTATTTGCATGTATTCCAGAAAAACTGCTGAACTGTTTCACAGTGTCAAAGAATGCATACCGCAAGCATTTAATTATTACGAAAATGTATCCAGGTATTTTAACCAACTTCAAAATACATGTCGAGTGTTAAATAAATGACGTAATGACCTTTTATCTGGAGGATTACATCACAGCTGGTATAACTATTAAAAAGGTGAATTTCTGTATGTCGTTCCTTCAAAACACCTTACAACTGTAAAGTTGGAAATCATTAATTTATAAATTAATGATTGATAAATAATTTATCTATGTATCAATATTTCAATGTATTTAACGTTAGCCGATAAACAAATTTACAACCAGTGTGATGTTTTTTTTTATATTAAAGATTCCGTAACCCAAGATTAAAAAAGCTGACATTATTAGAAAAAGGGTGATCCCTCGGAAGCACCGACAATAACAATATAATAAGAAAATTGCAGACTCAGTTTGATTGAGTTTATTCATGAGATATATCTCTCAACACTCCCGAGCAATGGCTTAAGCGGTATTTAGCCGCTTAGCCGACTGTGCCTTACTCATTATCGTTTATATCTTAACCACAGCATAAAAATTCGAAAACAAAGAAAAATGATAAGAAGTAAAATGGTTTCCTGCGGGGAATATTTTTAATGATATAAAGATATTTCATTTAACTATTTTCAACGTTGTTTTGGGAGAGGGGAATAAATAAACGTTTGTATCAGGAATAAAGTTGACAATAATCGATCAATATAGAAAAATGTCTTTGGAAACTGGTGACCGTTGATGACCGGAGAAGGTCGAACATAAAACAATTATTTCTTTTTAAGAAAATAATTAAATAGGCCTACCATTTTATGAATAATTCCAATCAAAAAAAAAGTAAACACAAGTTTACGCAGAAAATATCTATATTTATTATGGCAGATGCCACTACGAATATTTTTATTTTGTAGATTTTCAGTATAAACAATTTATTGTTTGTAAAATTTGAGATATATATATTAAAGAAACAATGATAATTTTCTAATATATCATTCAAGATTTTCCACCTTAAACGGTTAAATAATTATAGAAAATAAGAAATATCACGTAATAGTTTTTTGTTCTTAATTAGGTGTAATTCTGACTAATTCCCTAGAGGTAATTCCGTAACGTACCGACAAACGGTATTTAGCCAGGTTTTCGAAAAGGTCAATTAACCAATCGTGTACGGTTTACAGATCACATGCTTCTCCATGTACCGAAAACAGGTCTAGTGCTCCTCCAAAAATAAAGGCGTACCAATACCCTGCGGTCTCCAGACCGCAGGGAATGAATGCAATGCACACTGTTTCATATTTCAGATTTAGAAAACGCATTTTATGTAAACATTTCTTTCGTTTCATGTTGCAGCGGATGCCACCACTTCATTTATGTCTAGAATTACAAAGCATTGTTTATTCTGCACCATTCTATTTAGTTCATTACCAAACAAAATGTTTGCACACGATAGGTTTTCACGACACACCGATAACAATGAAAATATTAACGAATGAAATAATTATAACAACACTCTTTTAATGTTTTGATAACGGAAGCCAGGTATAGAAATAAATATAGGATGATAAATTTAGGGAAACAGAACAGTAGGACATCATTTCTATGAGAAACAATTCTCATATGTCTATTGTAATTACTTTTTGCAGTCAATGTTATGTTATAACGAATATAACTTTCCAAATCCGGGTATCAAGTTTACTCATTTGTTTGTCTTTTTGATTAATAAAAATACGGCATACTTTCAAACCAAGTGCTTGATAAATACCTTACTCCTTTTAGAACTGAGACTACTTATATTTTAAGCTGAGATTTTATACATTTAGGAATAAATCAGCAGGTGAATTGATTTCCGGTCTTATAAAATGACTAAAACAAACCAAGAGCTTATGCCGGATATAAATTGTATTCTATGTGGCGTTTTAAAAGCTTTGTTGGACAAGCAAAACGCCGCTATTTTCGATTTCATCTA